TGACGAGCACACGAATGAGGAGGGGGGGGGGGGGGTTCAGTGAGTTAGCATATTTTACTTTGTGAAGCTTTAAATGATCTTAGCTTTTATTTATGCTTTACATTCAGTTGAGTATTTTGTTGCAACCTTTTCAGTTCACCTATTGTTGCTTTAGCTATATTACATACTCGTACTTTCAATGTACTAATGTCATTCGATTGACATTTTTTTATGATGTATATACATGTGTTTAAGATCATCAACAAGCACTTTGTTAAGATTACTTCGCACTCTTGATAATTTTTTTGTGAGACCTCCTTGATTCCGGAGGACTCCACTTATTTAGTTCAATCTTAGTTTGTTTAAGGTTGTCATGGGTCTTGTCATTGAGAGTCTTCAGAATTGCTTTTAAGATATTTTGTTAAAACTATTACTGTTGTCATTCAGTATTTCTAGATAGTTAAATTGAGCACTTTGACTTAAAGATTTATTTCCGTTTTAAAGCCTATATCTACTTGAGTTAGTCTTCCCCTAAGTAGTCAACTAGGCCAAGGGTTCGCTTGGCGGCCAACAATGGTTCTCGAGTGTCGGTCACGTCCAGGGTATAGGCTCAGAGCGTGACAGGTGCACCCAAAGTCTTCAAATCCTAAATTCGTCTTAACATGCAATACTGCTGGAGCTAGCAGAGGGAATATGCGACATAGTTCATATGGTTTTTGTGTCACTATTTGGAGAGCTTTAAGATTTTATATCTACCAAGTTTTCTGATATCAGATCGGAGACAAATTCTTTATGTTTAAAGAAGATGATAAAAGGGCACCAGAAAATACCTTAGGAGAGAGACAATTGAGGAAGGGAAGGAAATAGCTAGTCAAATAAATGTACAGTTCAATCATATATTCATAGAAACTAATCAACTAGCTGATTTCATCACAAACACGACAATCAATCAAGAAGACATGAAACATTTCTATAGTTTTAATCAGCAACAAAGCATGGGAAGTGTCACGCCCCAAGCTACCCCCAAGACGCGGACACGGGACCTAGGACCACAAGTGATCCCAAGCTAACCCTGCTGGCATGATCATGAGCATACTAAAGATAATAAACTGATGCGGAAGTTAAATCATATACAAATCTGAAAAGATGGGGAATACCCATATACTATAACTGAATATATCAAATCTGAGAGTTTAATACAAAAGAAATATATTAACTCAATACTAAGCTGAATCTAACTATGTCTGAAATAAGCCTCTAAACTGACTAGAAATGTTGGGACATGCCCCAACTACGTCTAGCAAAACTGAAACTAAAGACTAAAAGAGATAAAGATAAACATGTCACTAGTCCCCGAAGAATGAGGACTCACCACTGATGCTACTGAACTGAAGATCGG